TGCTATTTATTTATCTCTAAATATACTTTGATTCTCTAGTAGCATGCTGTTAGATCAGATGATTAGATTTGACAGTTGTGAACAAATAGAGCGAAAATAACGAGTGTGCTATTAATGATGTGTGATGAAAAGCGCGCCGGATATTGCGGATATTACTTATCGTGATACCTTTTTAGAGTAATAATAATTAATTTCTAATAATTAAATAATTATTTTCAACTAAATCTCATGAAAAATAATTGAATGTATTTAGCTTAATTTTCAGCTCAGCAAATTTCTATAAAATTTGCGGGATGTAAAACTATTCGAATGATTTTCTCCGCGCGAGTCAAGCGCGAGTATTCGCATGCATGTAAGTATGTAGCTTTCATCTCTTTCGATTAATACGGTGCAGCAAATACAGGAACCGCCAAATCATTTTTGCACACAGAACGCGGCACAATATGGGCAATCGAGCGTGAGGGATGAGAGGTGGATCGGTATCTCTCCCCTCGCGCAGAAAAGAGATTCGCGTCCGTCGGTTTCTGTGCGGTAAACACGTTGTGTTAACGAAAGTAATGACGGTCCATCGCATCATTGATTTGTGGCTCCATTAGTTCTGGGCTCGTCGGGTTCACACCTGGCCACTTTCCGCCTGTCTCCCTCCCCTCCCTCTTCTACGCGCGCGCGTGTGTGTGCGTGTGTGTATGTACTATTCGATAAATCCAAATTACTTCTTCTCGAAGAGCCCGCTAGAGCCGATCCGCTACAATTGTAACGCGCATTTTCACACAAGCGAAAAAGTAAATCTTACCAAATGTAGCGTAGAAAATACACCCGTGACTTTCGCTCCTGTAGCAAATGTTTTTCTGCAAAACTTGTCAATATTTAATGTTTTTAAGTGGCATAAAATTTTTAAGTAGCATACAATTTTTTTTTACCATGTTACATATATGTATAAAATATACTGCATGCGAATCAAGAATAAAAAATGAGAGAGTATTTACATGGTATTTGTAAGTTTTATAACATTTGAGAGAGAGAGAGAGAAAGAGAAAGAGAGAGAGGAAAAGCAATATCTCCTTCTCTATACACGTTTCGTGGCATCGTATTAGGGAGATGTGGGAAAAGCACAGGACACAATCAACGTAAAAGATGCCGAAAAAGATAAAAGCACCGCCCTTGCGAGACCACCCTCCGTGAATTCGATCGGCGTTAGATGAGGACCTGTGCCTGGTCGAAATATAGCATCCGTATAAACAACTTTAGATAACTTTCAAGTTAACAAGTTAATAATGAAAGCGGTTTCTGCTGTTTTATGTCAGCGAGTAGAAAGCCAAAAATTGGGTGGAATCGTTTTTGAGTGCCATAAATACCGACATACATTTTCGGAAGATCGTGAGAACCAAAAAGTCTTATTTAATATAACAAGAAAGTTACATTTCCGAAATATTTTATCAAAAGCAATATACGTGTAACGACTTATGAATTATTTCAAATCTCTATGTATTGCTCGCAAACACTTTGCTAAAATTATACTTTTATAAAATTATAGCATCGCTAAGGGAACATGATACATACACACACGCACATACATTATATTTTTTCCTTCTTTGAATGTTTTTCTATTTCCTAAATATTTTTTTTTTTTGCGCGAATACGATTTTAATTTACTTTTTCTTTGTCTAATATTTTTTGAAAAGTTCAGATTAGTCACTTTCTTGAACTCTCAATGATACAAGGGAGCTGAGAAATCGGGGTAGAACCCCTAGTTCGAGTAAGGTCTAGTCGGCGTTCTCTGTAGTTCGATAGTGGGCGGGGCGTCGTGTTGCACGGCGTCGTGTGTGAAGCAAAAATTGTCAATGGACGATATTGTTGGTGCTCCTTTGCGGAGATGAATAATAAATGGCTGTTGCCATGTTCCGTAAACGCTTACGCACGGATATTAGCTGACAGCCCTCTTTTTTTTCCTTTGGGATTTGCTACCAATGAATCGGTGCGCGAGATTTTTTTCTTGTCGCTCTTCGACATATCCCGCAATCAAAAATAAAACCATTGATAATATTTGACATAGTGAAACAGAAATAAAAAAAACTTGAGGAATGTGCGCGAAACAGAACTTTTAAATGTACCTTTTATTAAATTTTTTAATAGCACAAATTTTACCTTTTCATCTTTACGTAATTATTCACCACTTTTACAATGAAATTTTATCATATAAACCTATCCCATAATTATAGAGCAATTGCCTAAACAGATCATATAGAGAAAAATCTGAATTTCAATTCAATGCTCGACGTGCGCGATTTTATGATTATAAATATCTTCAGAATTTGTTATTTTTTTCGCTGAGAATAAATGAGTATTACAAAATAGTTACATCAGCGAATCTAAAATGCCTACGAAATGAGAGAAAACCAGAAATATTTGTATAGAAATGAGAAAAGGATACGTAGAACCTCTTTTTTGTAACTATCTAAGTGAGAATATAATAATATAATTCTTTACATACAGCATTATAAATAATTATTCCTCATTTTTATAAAATTTTTCAACGGTTATGACAATTGCTATACGCAGAAGCAATCATTTGCATTATTAAAACAGAAAATTGTTTTTAACTCTGAAATCAATATTAATTTTTCGATATTTATTAAGAATTTTTTACTCATTAAATTAAGTTTGATTTTGATAATGTGATTACTTTTAATTTAATAAATAAAAAATGCTTAGCAAATATCGAAAGATGCAATAAAAATACGAGCTACCCTCTGTAAGTCCTTTTCCCCTCAACACTCTCTATATATCTATCCGACAATATAACAATTGTCGTTTCTCTATGATCGAACATTAGTATTTTACGATAACACATTATCGGTGTCGTCACGCTCGTCACTCAGAATCGTGCCGCCGTCATGTGACATCGCGAAGAAGGAAAGAAAAGAATGCGACTTGTTTCACGGGACATCATTCGACCAACCATTGTTCCTGTACCCAAAAGATCAAAGATCAAGAGCGGGAAGCCGCTGCACGCAATGGCTTCCGCTCTGGGAAACCGAATTCTCAATGCCCGTCATCTGATCGTTACACAATGAAGATCACTAATTTACAGCGGCGAGACCCCCATAGGAGATCCTCCTATCGTTTTTCCGTTTTTTTGAAAAGTCAGCAGGTTTTTATACGAACAAACTTAATCCTCCACTACGCGCGCATTTTGGTATATCGTGCAATAACGTATATGTTTTATATACAAAATATACGTTGGAAAAAAGTATATATACATAAAATAAATAAAAATGAGACAAACTCTCAGATAGAAAAAAATTAACTTAATATGTAAAAAATATTACGCCATTGATTTTTCAAAATCAAAAGTCATTCTTTTAGCTATATCTAACTTTAAATATATAGGGAATAAATTCTTTCTCTCTCTCTCTTTCTATCAGCTCATTTATACCAAGTGTTATAGCGAGTAATCAACGGACGTATAATATCGCTCGAAATGTCTAACATTCCCGAAAGTTCTGGACGGATCGATTTCTTTTATGGATCCATAACTCCATCGAAACTTTGGCTTCGCCATTTACACCTGGACGGACAAATTGAAAAAGCCAAAAAAGTTTACCTACCGCAATGCTCGATTCCGATAAACAAAAATAAGTAACGAAGAGTATCTTCTTTTTTTTCACCACGTTTTCTACGGTACGTTTTCCCGATCTATGCGTACCTGAGCGGATCTCAGAAAACAACATCACCGGCATCTGGGTCCATCGGCAAAGATCAGCCGCGACAAACAAAGGCTCTTACAAAACTCGGCAGCCCCGCCCCCGTCAGAAACGAGTCAGAAGACTCAACAATGCCTGGCATGTTTTTCAATATTTAGCCATCATGACTTTTCGTCAGGCCTTTCGCCCAAAATCTCCGAGTCGAATTGGGAACTAGATAATTCAATTAGACGACAGCTGCCGCCGTAGCTATACGCACACAGGTAGAGCCCGCCATGAGATTATAGAACGACCGTGAAGACATACAAGATAGAAGGGGAAGGGAGCAAACCCACCCTCCGTCACGGTAACGGAAGCCTTGATGTGTTTATTTGCACCGCCTATATTCCCGCAGAATAATCTGCGCACGCGCGATCAATCTTTCCTTTTTTTTCTATTTTTACCCTCAAACCGTCCGATAAGAATTAGGCTTGAAATATTGAAAGAGATTGAAGGTATCTGTTTGAAATAAATATTGGAATATATATATTATAGTGAAATAACGTGTAATATCAGTTTTATATGAATAATGCCAAGTGCTAAGTCTTTACATATTACGATTATTGTTAGTCGCAACGACTGTTCGCAGCGATCAAAAATCCTCTGTCAAGTAGTGATTTTAGACGCGACAATCGAATCATAAGCGATAATAGATCGGACCATTTAGAAATGCCGCCAAAATGAATCCTCTCTGCCTTTCTACCGGCAATTGACAAAAAATTTCTGGTAGAATTTAAATTGGTCTCCCAAGAAAGAAAAACTTGAACTTGAATTTGCTCGCCCATTATGCTTTTAAGTAATTTTTCTCGCGACCTAGACTTTTTTTAACGACTTAAAGTACTGTTTTATGTTAACTTTAAAAATAGCAAAATTATTTGATTACAAATTATTAAGAGAAAAATCGATATGTTATCGATAATTTCTGAAAATTTTCTTGACTTTATACAACAACAATGTATAAAGCAACTCTAAAACATGATAAAATTACGAAAAAATTGACAAAGTACGAAACCTGCAACAAATACCACATTAGCCATTGAACAAGTCTGCTATCTAGAAAAGATAATTAAAAAATAAGACAATTGAATATTCGCTATTTATATGAGATAACTTTTAAAAATACAAATAAATAAAATTCTTGCATTATCAAATATACATATTTAATGATTTAATTGATTTAATTATTAATTGATTGATTGATTAATTGTAATCTTAAGGGGAATCAATAAATGTTTATATACATATTTAATGAAAAAAATAAGATCTACTATCAGGACTTGTTGGCTTTTTTTAATGCCAAAAATAGAAAAAAAGATAAAGAAAATTATAATATGGGGATAAAGAAAATACAAAATAATAATATTTTTTAAAACAATAATTAAAACTTGTTTTTTAAAGAACAGCAACAACATCTTTCGATGAAGAAAATTCTTGTTGCTAAATAAAAAAACACGTATTTTTCTAATACCCATATATGTAGTTCAGAAAGAAGCCGGTCTCAGGCGATAGAGAATGGAATCTACTATTATACATGCAATGAGTAGATTATCGACCACAAAAACTCTCGTAGTGGGTGACGAATGCGTTTGAATACGTTGAAAATTTGTCACGAGCTTTGCCGGTGCGATCAAAGCAACGAGAATGACAAGGAAAAGAACGACAGTGGGCGGCTTTTCTCGGCGATCGTTATGCTAAATCACCCAAAATTAGTGGCATCTGGTACTTGCTTTTTCGTTTTTTTTTTTTTTCATTTTGCTATATGTAGTGTATACACATACAATTATTGGAGGCCTAGCAGTTTCGGAGCGCCAAAATCCGGATGGAACGTAATAATCCTAAAGAAACCGTTTACAGTTTACAGCAACAAAACCAGGAAAATGTATAATGTAAAAAGCAGATGAAAAATTTTTTTAAATCTCGATAAGATTTAGTGATTTTTTGAGTAATATGTAAAAAATAGAGAGAGAGATAACTGTAACAAATTTTTAAATTCCAAAATTAAAAAAAACAAATTAAAGAATAATATATGCTTATTTTTTATCTTATTCATCCGATAAATATTTTCTCTTATTGCTGCCATTATCGATAGATATAAATTTTATAATAGATAGAATATGTAGAATATGTATTCCAACACAATATTTGATAAAATTCAAATAACATTTTTTTTGCGTCAGCTGTTCTCTTTTCAAGGAATGACTTTTGATTTTTACGATCAAATAATTCACGTCATAAATTTCAACTTATTACAGTACGCGTCCTTGAAAAAACTGGAGATGTTTTTTTGTGAAAGTAAATCGTCGCGTGGCGCTTTTATTGAGTTGATGTAAGACTTCGAAAACGTCGAATGACGTTTCCGTAACGACGTCTACCGTAAACTAATAAATGCATTAATTAGACGCGACAAGATTCGTATCGTCAACAAACCATAATCGATCACACTATGTGAAAGAGAATCTTTTAAAATGACAAAACAATGGCCGATGGCATTGATTTATGGCTGAGTCTCGTTTCACTTTCGTTTACTATTATTAAAGACCGATTAGCTTTTCGAGGTTGCGAAACGTTGGCACGTGAGGCCAAAACAAGTTTCACAAATACAGCATCACTCAAAGAATGTTTTTATCCCTTAATATCCTACTACCTATATGTAGGTACATATATTTATAAATCTCAAGTTATTATATAATAAACGAAACGATTACGTCATAACTTTTTTATAGAAAGATATGTATAATGTGACAGTTATATCATGTTCTGCTCGAATATTTTTCTTTTTCTTTACGACCGGTGGATTTGAATAAAACATCAAAATATTTTTCGATGATAGATACATTATTACATAGTTACAACATTGTAAAAGACTAATAACAAGTTGTTTAATTGGCAGATATTAAATTAGAAGAGACTTAAAATCATATTATATACATATAATATCGAGATTTGGCATTTGTCTCACATCTTGTTATTTTGATTACTATTAACTTTCTTGGTAGCTATTTAATTTTGTTTTACTCAATTTCTTTTCAGAATTTGCTATATATCTTGCGAAATTTTTTTTTTTGCTGAATAAGTTTGGAACATCTTTTTCATTCAATGATAGACGCTGCAAAGAAAGGAGTCCCTTGCTTTACGTGAAGCATACTCGCACAACTCGACCGTGTCGGGCAGACAATGCCGCTATATTGTGAAAATATTGATTGCAATCTAACGTACACTCAAGACAATGCCATTGATTTTGTGGTGGTATTCTAAAGAAAAAAAGAAAGAAGATGATACTTGAGTATCATCTTCTCCGCCATGGTGCACACCCCCACACAACGGTTGCCATGCTAAATATACATAATATACAATATAATCTATAATAATAATCTTTCTTGTGCAACAAGATTATAGAATATTATATTAAAGAATATAATATGCATCTAGCCAAAGTGTCCGAAAAATAATAGCTTTGATTTATTACTCATTAAGTTGTTAAGAATTTCCCGCAAAAACACGCATGAAAATAAAGCATATTCATATCATTCACGTGTATATAAAAATAATCATTGTAAATAAAAATTATACCTATTACACTCGTTGTATAGTATATAAATCAAATTTCTTAAACGTTTCTGCAATTTATTATTATTAGAGCGTAAAAGTTGTAAAGTTTGACGGCGAGTAATAAAATGCATTCTTCACTTCAACTTTTTTTTCAATTAGATTCAGATTAATTGTTTTTTACATCGATTATTATTATTAAGATTTGAAAAACAATTCACAGGAATCTACTTTATTATGCAAATTTAAACGTTTGCATTTCTTAATTCAAATAACGCTCGTTTTAACACTCCTTTTTCTCACGCTGTGACGCGTTATTGAATTCAAAGCGCGACGTGTCGCGACTGCAGCATTTAAATATTTTTCTCTCTTGAGAGATCAAGAAGATAGGTAGGCAGTCGGCTTCGTGCTCGGCAATAAGCCACGACGGCACTCGAAAGTTCTGGGTATACGTGTGTAACTCAAACTTGCTGACGCGTTTCTAGGCATTGTCCGAACTTTAAACAGCATGACAAGCGGCGGAAAGCAGAAGAGAAAAAGAAATGGTTGCTCTCCTTTTCCCTCTCCCCTTTCTCTCTCTTCATACAATAAAAAATAATAACGGCAATATATGTATATTAACAAATATCCAGCAATCTGGATGTTGCAACATAATTTGGATATCTAATAGATTCCGAGAATATTTATCTGTATTGCATAGTTCTATCTAAATTCAGATTTGAATTATGTTGCAACATCCAGATTGCTACATATTTGCTAAAATGCCATTATTATTCTTGATTGTATAAAGAGAAAAGAGAGAGAAAAAGAGAGAGAAAACGCGTCCTACATTTATCATATTTCGTAATTGAGAGACGCAGATACACAATAGCAGATGCATCGTAGGCCGCGAATTTGCGGCTCCACTCTCCTTTTTTCACCTCTACTTAGAATTAGTTTTATGTCAGAAAGGTTAAGCGGGACCACGCGGGAACAGGAGGCGAGCGATTACGTAAAGTGTGGCGGCATTTAGCTCGGCTAATTGCGCGAGAACTATGGCGAAAGGGAGGGCAACGCGCGCATCACATGTGACGTCCCTTTGACACGCGACGCCAACCTATTAGTAACGCACACGACCAGCATATGTCGCCTCTTGGATGTGGCATCAACTTTCTCGATTTATTCCAATACTCCAATATGCGCACGAGATAATTTTTATATATTTATATATATGTGGTATACGTGCGTGCGTGTATATATGTGACATTATTATGCGCATTTCATAATAACATTATCTTGTCTATGATAGCACGACAAAACAAAACGTCCATCCAAAACGCAATTGCTATAACATAATAATATATCAAATAATAGAAACAATTGTAAAAATATGTAATAATGCACTCACCAGATTCGAAGACACGGTCGTGTTTCGCAAAGTTACACAATATCATGATTTCTCCAACAACGTCAAATTGAAATCTTAACGCTCATAATGCTGGATAAAGAATATTATTTCTGCAACAACAAAAATATTGGAAGAATGAAATAAATACAATTGATTACGCGACGCGATAATATGTACACTTCTCGAGGCTCTATTCACCATTCTCAATTAAAGAATATGCGAAAAATACGAAGTTAGTAATAAATTAGTCGACAAATATAAAATTTCGACGCATGCGCTTAGAGCATCGACCAAACAAATCATCTAGACTGCTTTCGTCGTACTAAACTGATTCTCGACGTACTTGACGATCACAACATTTACGAACATAACCTGTGTTTACCTTCCAAAAAAAAAAATTAACAACATGCATGGTCTATACGGACTTCAGACTTCGTGCATGTCGATAAAATGTAATTAATGATTATCGATCTAGCTATGGTGACGCACTATTCTTATATATATATATA